CAAAGAGAAGAAAAAGTATATGTAACTACAGCTCTCCTACAGTAAATGCTCTAAGAAAGAAGAGAGGACACGCGATCACTATTTTCAATTGGGATAATTAAACCCCTGCTTTATTTGTATTTACCCTTACACGTTCAACAGATTGAATTGATAGCCTCATCTCCACCCACTGCCTGGGTCACAGCCTTGGATGAGCTCAGCTGAATGCGGGTCCTGAAAGCCCAGCATTAGCTGCAGAAGAGGAGGAATCGGCCTCCCCTCAGCCTCATTCGCCTTTCATAACAAGCACATCAAGGAAGCTATACTTTCTCCTAATGTGATATCAAGTTGGATGGAACCAGAGCCACACCATGATGGAAAATGTCTGCCACTGGGATTGCAGCCACACACACACACACACACACACACACACACTCACAGAGAGAGAGAGAGAGAGAAAGACGGACGGACAGACAGACAGACAGACAGACAGACAGATAGCCTTAGCATGGCCCCATCAGTTTCTGAGGGAGAAGAAAAGCACCTTGAGTGGCTATGCTACTCCAGTTGTAAAACGACCTCTCTCCATCAGATGTGCAGATTGGTCTCTCCTCTGAGTAAAGCCCACGAGCTAGCACAGCTGGCCACTCCGATCACCGGGCGAATGCAGACTGAGAGAAGTCTGAAAAATACTGCCCTCAAGCCCTCTTACTGGAGAGTGAGTTCTCATCTACCGTGAAGCAAGTATGCCCTGCGTGGCAGCCGCTGGCCTACATAAAAGGGTGAGGTTTCTTTCTGTAATTTCTTAGCACACTGCTTGTGAGGGTGTTTCCTTCTGGGTTAATAATCACTTACAAATAAAGCCTTCCCCCCTCCACTGCTTTGGGAAGAGGTTTTCTGTGTTGGAGAAGATTGCTCATAACTCCAGCACCAGACTGCATGTCCCTTGAGTTTCTCCGGCCTTCTAGTAGAAAAGGATGCATTACACAGCAGGTAAGACCTAGGAACGGAGAAGCAGGCTGGTTGGGTTTGTTAGGGTTGATACATTCTGTCAACTTGACAGCTGAGAAGCTTAAAAGCTTAACTGTGACTCAGCAGGGTGCTAGGGTCCTCACTTTGTAAATATTGTGTGCTTGTGAAAGAGGCGGGTACAGAGATGGTACGGTGGGTAGCCTGTTTGCAGTATAAAGGAGGAAAAGAGGCTTGCTTCCCCCCTTTTAAAAAACTTTCAAAAATCTTGTTACTTTTGTTATCTCCTATTGCCTTGAACTGTTGCCCCGTACCACGCCACCCTGCCTTGGAGCCAGCTGATTAATGACTGAAACCTCCACAAGCTGTGAGCTACACACACTTTTCCTTCCTCAACTTTGGGTATCAGGTATTTTTGTCTCAGAAACAAAGAAAAAGTAACCAAGACAGTTTGAATCCTGCTCTTTCTTGTACAACTATGTGACATGAGATAGGTAACTCAACTTCCGTGTCTCTCATCTTCTTATCTGTAAAATGAGGGGTGTGTGTGTGTGTGTGTGTGTATGTGCGTGCACATGCATGTGTGCCTACATGCATGCACACATTTATACACATTACACTGGCTTAACAGATAAATGAATTCATATATATTACTAAGTGTTGGAACTGTGGAAATCGACAAAGCCCTCCCAGATAGAACGAACAGGCCCTTGGGGGCTTGCTGCTGAATGGAAGTCCTTCGTGTAAAACAGTCATTTGCTGGCTGAGACTTGAACCCTTGTGTGTGAGGGGATCCTTTATCATGAACAGGAGACTTTGGTTCATTTTGCCCCATGGCTCCTGGCTCAGGAACTGGAAGCAGCCAACTGTGCAATTGCCCAGGAAGCGAATGGGAAGCAGGACACTGCTGGGGAGACGGTGGCTGGGGCTCCACCCCCATGACCATCACAAGAGCGCTGACCTCGGCCAGCCTGGAGACCCTGTCCTGCTGTCTGTGTGCAGTGTGCTGCAGGTGGTGGCCACGCCACAGCACCGTCTGCTCTGCACCCTGCTGGCTGCTGCTCGGGTCTGTGTCACCCATGGGACAGCAAGCCGCAGGGTGGGGCTGCATCCTCTGTACTCTCTCTGCCCCTGGGCCACCCCTACCGTGGCCCTGCCCAGAGCAGGTGCTCTGCAATCACTGTGAAGTGACTAGCTGATAAGCCCGTATGGTGAACTCAGAAGGGGAAAGTTTGCATGAAAGAGAAACAAGCAGCGTTTAATTATAGCTCCTACACTTTGCAAGCAAAGTGTCCCTAAGACGGGCCAGGAAAACCTACCATCCCGACCAGGTGTCCAAGCCAGGACAGTCATTTATGAAGTGGCAGCGAGAGTGTGATCAGGGGCTCTGCTTTTCCTCTTTTCTCATACTTGCCAAAAGATTTGCCCCCAAGGAGTGGTGGATGCTGTTGTGGACTACATGTTGGTGTACTGAGGAGCCGCTGGTCCAGAGTACACCAACATGGTTAAGGAGGTGGGAGGAGGGAGTGGTGAAAGTGGCGATCACCCAGCAAGGGCCCAAGCTTTTGGACCTTTGAACAAGTGTGTTCCACAGATCTTGTATCATTCACGCGTCACAAGAGCTCCTTGAAGTGTGTGCTTTCCCTTTCCCTATCTTTACAAGTGAAATAGCTAAAGGCTCACCAGCAGTCACTTCCTCCTCTTCTCCCAGCCCGCACAACTGCAGGTGTGTTTTATATGGACTGCCTCCTCTGGGCATCTCATCTAACAGGAGTCAGGTCTCATGGGTCTGCGGTGCCTGACGTCTTTCACCTGGCTGACACTTTCATTGTCCATCATGTTGGAACCAGTGTAGGTATCTAATTCCTTTTTCTGGCCAAATAATGTTCCACTGTATGGCCAGGCCACTGTTTACTCACTTATCACTGATGGACAAGGGGATGCACCCAGCTCTAGGTACCGTGGACACCGCTGCTGTGGACATTCACAGTACTGTCTATGGAAGGTCACCAGGCATCTTTGTGCTGTTAAATCCAATGGGCATGTTTCTGTCCCTTCTCATATGTCAGGAGCCCTTGTCACAGGTAGCCAACTGCCCTTGTACAGAGTCGCCTCTCTGGCTTTCCGTCCCAGCTCATTTTTATCATCTTCTTCCTCCACCTTTGCCCTTCTGGCTCCTTCTCTGCTTCGCACTCTCCCACATGGTCTACACAGATCCCTCCCCTGGCTTCCCTTTGGGAATGAAATCCAAGCTTTTGAGGTCCGCACAGCCGGTTCTGTTCTCACCACTGCCTTGGCCTGGTTTGCTCTGTGGGAAATCCTCCTTCTCTTTCTTCTCCACAGCTTGCTGCTTTCCCTTCTTCAGGCCTTGGCCACCTTCCTTGCCACCACATTCATGGAAGGCTAGCACTCCACACCCCTCAGTCTCATACTTTTCCCGACAAACCCTTGTGTGAAAAGCTTTCTTTCTGGTGTGGGTGGCCATATGTGTCTTTGCATGTGTGTGTCTGTGTGTGGTTTTGACTTTAGACTCCGAACTCTATGGTCACAGCAACCACGTCTACATTACCATACTGATGCCCAGGGCCTACCACATAATAGCTGCTTCATAAATATTTGTTGGATAAAGTGAAGAACTAAATAAAAGGAATGGAAAATGAAGAGTTGACTAAGATCAAATGAAATAGCAGAGGAGATCTGTACACCGTGGGCCAACTCTAAAGGACTATAAATGTAATGGATGGCTGCAGATATAACTATGTCTATATAGTTATTGTTTATGAATTTATAGAAGCCAGAATCATGTCAAAAGTAAGTCGTGGCACTCCCCGTTCCCCAGCCTCACAGGACACCTGGTGGCTGAGCGGCGGCGGCCACCCTTCCAGGACCACTCATCAGGGGGTGACTGTATTGCTCTTTCCACCGAGGTAGCGCCTTCTGCTGCTCTTGAAAGCATCCTCTCTGCTGCGTGTGACCGCTCCACTCAGACCCTAGCCCTCCTCCTCTCCAACCTTTCTCCACATTTTACACTTGGATAACCGCATGCCTGATGGCAGGGGTGTCACATGCTCCCCACAACCCCTGCGGGGAGCACAGCTGTTTGAGGGTAGATGCCATGATTCCTTCATCCCTGAATTTTCTCCACTCATCTGACAAACAGCCTGAGCTCCTCTTATGCTCTGTCCTGGAGCCCAAAGGCCCGCGGGGAGCCAGCTGACTAGGGGACCTGGAGGAAGGAGCCTGGCTGGGTTTAATGAGAGGTGATTAAATTGAGGATGGAAGGAAGATAAAAAGTCTCAGCAAACATCATAAAAGAGGTCAGCAGCTGCTGTTTACCTGGGAAAATGCAACTGGAACCCCTACCCTGCACCCCTGGACTCCAACAGCAGAGAGAGAAGCCAGTGCCAGAGGAAAGAGCCCTTCTGTGGCCCGAGTGCTGGGCTCAACCTCCCTGACTACTGAGGCCATTGCTCCACATCTCCAGAGGAGCAGTGAGGAAAAAGAAAGGAAAAAAGAAACTTCATACTCTGTGATGTGAAAGCTCAGAAATTCCTACAATGCAGCCACACAAGTAGGCAATATGGGGGAAGGGATAACGCCTCTTCCTGCATAACCCTTATGGAGTTTTAAAAGCATGGATCAGTTTTTTAATTGAGTCCCATGTTGGGGGGTAAAAGCTAAGAGCAAAGAGCTCACGGTAAGTGACACGGTAAGTGAAAGGCCACCAGCCACATTATGTGGAAACCGTATGAGTCAGGACTTTGTGCCTAATGGCAAGAAGTGTGGAAAAATTAATGTCAGGAACTAAGTATATGCCAAAATGATTAAAAAATGACCTCAGCACAGATTGCTATTAAAGCAAATGGGCTGAAGTATATAGAAGGCTTAATGCATTTATAAAGCTTTAAAAATTCTTGTTCCTCAGGGTAACTTTGTTTAAAGGGCTCTTAGTCACTTCAAAGCACCTTAGCTTGGATTCACAAAATGATTCACTGAGAGAGCAAGGTGTCTCCCAACACCCCCATAGCCCGCCTCCTTCGGCTGTCACTTACTGTGAGCTCTTTGCTCTTAGCGAAAGGCCACCAGCCACGCACGCGCTTTTGCTGAAATATGGAGATCATGTTCTCTCTGCTTGCATTCTCAAACTTGGAGAGGTCGCAGGCTTTGGCAGACTTGGCGGCTCGAGGGAAACTGTTGAGGTTCATTTCCAGGGAGCCTGTGAAGGGATGCCCACAGGTTACGCGGAACTAAAGAATTAGATTTCTAACCCCGTCCCCACTCACCCATTCACTCCTTGGTCATACAATCGCATACATGCAATCATGTGTGCTAGGTGCTTAGGTACCAGGAGCGAAAATATGACCAAGGACGTCTGATGATAGCGTGTCTGAGCTGTCACTGCAGCTCTCAAGCCCCAGGTTCAGGTAACATCACGGTGCGGCACCTTCTGTGCTCACGAGTGCAGCTCCCCGAGTCTGAAGGAGGCGCACTGCTTCCTCTTCCTCGGCGTGGCTCTCCCTGTTGGAGTCCTGCCCACCCCTACCCTTCTCACTTCCGCGTAGGGCCCACTAAACTCCTCAGGACCGGGACCAGGTCTTTCTGCCTCGGTGCCTGCTCTCCAGGACAGACAGCAGGCCTTAGAGTGTTCTCTACAGTGGATTTCCAGAGTGAGATAACACCGTGAATGAGAATTCTGTCGCTCACTGTCACATCTTCAGGGCCTGCAGTTCAGCAAACAAAATGAGACTAGAAAACTTTCCCTAGTCCTCTCCCCCTACATGTGGCCAGAGCTCTCCATATTGTTGCCCCCTATTTCCTGTTCCACTGTATCTTCCTCCTGTACATACAAACACGCATTTTACAGCAACAAGATCCTCTCCTGCTCTTTGGGACTTAAATGCATCCTTCACAACTTCCCAGTTCATTGACTACTTCAGTATTGTTGACAGCTGTAGGTTAACACTTACTGATGCTTATTGTGTGGGAGGTACTGTGGCCTGTTCTTTACTTGTGCCGTCACATCTGCAGTCCCACCACCCCGAGGCATGTGGTATCATGACCTCATTTTACAGAGGAGGCAATGGGCACAGAGTGCAGTAAAAATCCACGGCGTCTAATGATGGAGCAAATAGGCTCACCTCACGCCTCTTCAAATCTATGTAGTGCTCTGCCATATGCACGCACTAGGATATATTTAGAGAAGCCCACAGGAAGGGGCTATTTAGGCGGTTCCAAAGTTGTCCCATCATAAATGGCACCGCAGTTATTACCCTTATGGCTGAATGAGCCTCAGCCTTCTGAAAGCTGGGACAGATCCTTATCGTTAATACATGCTTCAGCAAGTCACTGACTTACCCAGGAAGTCATCCGAGGACAGCCTTTCAAAATCCCAAACCTGGAGCACCAGCACGGCCGGAGTCTTGCACTCCATCTTCTCCAAGGAGAAGATGTTCTCCCTCTTGGTGATGACCATTTGCTTCTCTGCTGGGAGGTACTGAAATGGAAACAGGAAGCGCCAGTTGAAGTTGCCCTCTCCTGTCAGGGAGTTGTAGTGGACATCCGTCTCCTGCTTGTCATCTTCCAAACCCTTCAGCCACCTGAACAGAGATTTTAACAATTCAGACACTTGGAGCACATTGCAATCAGGCATCAGTATAGTCAAAGTGAGTCAGTTCATCTCAGTGTGGTCACAGATTCTACTTTAAAATGTATCATATAGTTAGATTCAGATAGAAGTTTCCATTTCCATTTGAAGAAGAAAAATAGGGATCAAAGAGGTTGGCATGGAGATGAGACCCGTTCCAAGGCTCACTCAGGATTACTCAGTATCACCCAGTGACATTACATACAGGTGACATGTACTGAACATTGGGAACACAAATGACCAGGGCAGGCAGGTGTCTCCAATGTATGAATAGACCTGAAGCTCGTGCATGCAAGATGGCAAGCTCGGGGAGTAGGAAGAGAGTATAATCAGAGCCTCGGCACTCTGGGAGATCGCTGGGTAACGTGGCATGGGTCCCCCTCTATGCCAGATTACCCACTCCCCTGAGACCGCTCAGGTTGGGCTGCCTGACACTTGTGGTGCTAGGCCTGGAAGTCACTCTCTTCTCTCTGGCCCAAGAGTCCAGCAGGCCTGGGTCAGTGAGGCAGGGCAGGCAGGGGCTGCCTGTAGCCACCGAGGTTCCAGTCCTGACCCCACTCCCTATTAGCAGTGAAGCCACAGACACGTGATTTACTTCTCTATGTGTCCACTTCACTTGTAAGCAGTAATAGTACCTGATGCATGGGGCCGTTCAGAGGACTTATATGATTGATACCTAGAAAGTGCTTCAAGTAATTCAAATTACCTACAATGTTCTTTTTTCTTAGTATTAACTGGTCTTCCTCTTCCATGCCTAGAATAATGTAAGCTACATTTAATATATGTGTCCCTGGTATACTCTATGCATGGCAAATTAATGAACTCAGAAAATGAATACTTCAGAGCTGGCCAGATAGCTCAGCGGACTGAAGCACCTGCTTAGGCAGAGCGCAGGAGCTGGGGTTCGAGCCCCGGTGTGCCGTGCCAGCCCTGCCCATGAGACACATTGAAAGGGAGATTGAGATTGGGCATGGAGGCATGTGCCTGTAATCCCAGCTCTTGGGAAGCTGAAAACAAGAGAATCACTATGAGTCCGATCTACACAGTGAGACCCTGTAGACCCTGTACCAAATACATTTACAAAAATAAATACTTCTATTCAAGCTAATTGGTAATCCAAACCATTTATTTTCTGAAAGCGCATATTACCTCCCAGGGCAGAGAGAAGACCCACCCTCTCTTCATAGAGGGGTGGGCAACGCTCAGGCTATGGGCCCAATTATGTAGCTAATGAAACATGCAAGTGACGAAGATAAAACTGTGAGACGTGCGAAGGGCCTAGGACAGTGCCACGGGCCAGTTAACTGCTAGGTGGGGAAACGAGCTTCCAAGTCACTGTGAAGTGGCCAGCGCAGGAGCAGAACCAGAGAGAGTGCTGCTACAGAGGGCAAGGAGGCCAGGCAGCGCCTCAAAAACCATTCAGCCGTGCCCAATGCTCCTGCGAGGGCCCTGGGATGAAGACTGATTAAAACAATAAAACCCAGTGGAGCCCGTCAGCTCTAGCAATCAGCGTGCTTCAGCGGGACCTGCCTTGTAGAACGTGGGGAAGCAAGCCCGACTAGAGCTGGGCGAGCAGCAAGCAGCTGGGGGCACAAGGAGGGAGTGAACCCCAACATCTCTTTTCCTGCGTTTGAACGGCCCGGGGTCCTGCGAGCCTCAGCCTGACCGCTCCCACAGCGCTGCCGTATCGTGAGCCTGAGGAGACATCTTCCCCAGCGCACATCAGCCTTTCCTGAGCTCGTGATCGGAAAGCAGTTTCAGAGGATCTCAACTCTGCTTTCAAAACATTATTTATTTAGGGCCACACCGCTTCTATTGATCCTTCTTTGTAATAACCTAAGTCCTTCCTCCATTCTTATCCTGAAAAATGAGAATTCAGAGCAACTGTGTGTGCCTAGGCTGCCAAAAGCGTCAGCCACGTGCCGGCTGAACCCAGCAGGGGAGATGCAGAGCCGCGCAGTGGGGTGGGCGAGAGTTCAGGGTTCAGGGATGAGCTCTAGCTAAAACGCAGCTTTGGTCCTGCTTCTTCTGACTTTCCTCACCCGCCCCCTGGCCAGAGGCCAGAGGCAGCGGGGCCAAGATGCAAGACAGAGGTAACAAATGCTTCGCTTCCTGGGTGAAGTGGGTATCCATCCTTCTTACCAATAGCATTAGCAAATGGCAAAGTTGAGATTTTAACCTTTGCATTAGTTGTAACTGGCTAAACAGGTTAACCTCTCATTAGTAGTACTGCATCACTTAATATTTTTCAGTTTAAAGATAAACTTTTTTTAAAGTTGAGAGAGAGAGAGAGAGAGAGAGAGAGATATCCAGGTGCCCAACATTTATTTAAATGAAAGATGTTTATATAGCAATATTTTCTCATTAAAAATACTTTCACAAGATAACTCTCAGAAAAACGCCCCCAAAAGCCAAACATCTGGAAAGACAGAGGCCTTATCTAACAAAGCAAGGTTCGCGGCTTCTGCGGGCTGTGGGTGTAGCGCCTTCCCTGGGGTGTAGATGTGAAAGGAAATTAAAAACCCACAAAGGGGGGGATGCCAAGATGAAGTTTGTTGACGACCTTACCCTTTCACATAAATATCACTTGATTTCTGGCCAGTGAAGATGTTCTCATCCTCTAAAATCACGTCTTCAGTGTTCCAAATGGTCACCCTCAGTTCGTACCTGGGGTGCAGGAAGGCAGTGTCAGGATGGGGGCCTTGAAGAGGAGTTGGGGCGTGTTGCTCTTGGTTCTCCTCACAGCTGTTGAGCTCATAAATATCAACGCTCAGGATCTTAGCTGCATCAGAACCAAGTGCCCCAGCAGAAGTCTCAGGCTCACCGAGGGCATGGATTACTACGAGCAGGTCTTCCTTTTACTAAGTATTTTTCAGAAGAGGAACTTCAGGCTCAGAAGCCGCCACCTGGACTACTTCCACGGTCATTACCCACCTGCTGCTGTAGCTGGCCAGGTGGAAAGTGGGGCTTGATTATCACTGGACCTGGCAGATGCCAGATCAGGTGACAGGGTCTTCTAAGCTGCTGCCAAGGCCTCTGCACTCCAGGCAAGGTGATGGCCACTTACCCTTTGGGCTTCCTGGGTGAAATGTCAACCGGAGGCCCTGGCTGCGGCATATCCTTGGGAAACATGTCCACCCACATCTGAAGCCGGCCCTTATGGAGAAAAGGAGACCTCTTTTAGCTTTGGGAGAAGATAGGACATAGGTAAATGACTACTTGTGGTTTTAAAAGCTCTTTTTATCTGAAATGGGTAGTAGGTATAGCTTGGTACATTTATACATGTGTAGGATTTTTTTTTTTTTTTTTTATTTTAGGGGAGGGTCTATAGGGTGTCCAGGGTCTCACTACTAGATTGGACTGGTAGTGATCCGCCTGTTTACAGCCTCCCAAGAGCTGAGATTACAGGCGCGCGCCACCACGCCCAGTCTCAATCGCCACCTCAGCACGCCCTGGGGGCACAGCTGGCACAGCAGGCCTAGGGATCGAAGCCCTGGCTCCTGTGCCTACTTGCAGGTGCTTTAATCCAGTGAGTTATTTGGCCTGCCCAATGCTTGTTAATGGAGACCAAAGTTACATTTTTATTAAAAATCAGCCAAAGCATAAGAGTGGGGGAGGGACCTGCTGAGCACCTCCCATGTGGTAGACACAGTGCTACACCCGTGAGTCAGAATGACTCATGAATTCTTACAGCATCCCCCCGTAGAGACACCACTGGTCCCGTTCGGCAGATGAGATATCTTGTGCGCCACGGCTATACAGATGAGATGTGGCCGAGTCTGGATTCAGCCAGTATCTGTCACCACCAGAAGCCCTGCTCCCTCTACAGACTGCCAAGGAGTGAGAAGGATCACGGTGCTATCTGCTGGAAATATCACGCTTCCGTGTTTCCAGTGCGGCTTGTCCTCCATTACTTCTGTCTGAGCTCACCCCAACCACACATCTACCTCACACATAAAGAAGCTAAAGCTTGGAGCAGTCACCGGAAGTATCTGAGGTTCTGGGCTGACTAGCAGAAGAAAAGGCCTTCTCACCGAGGGCCTTGAACTCCAACCTGTTGTAGAAGACTTAATAGCCTCTGGGGACAAGGGCAGTGGGCCACACACTCATCTCTGTTATACAGATTTTAAGAACTCATCAGCTCAGGCAAGAAGGTGAATGATGGAATGGGGCTGTGATAGACATGGGGGATGTTATAAACAGATGTAGATTCCCCCAGAGTATGAAGGAGGTGCGGGACTTGGAGGAGCTTTGGCTGGAACCAAAGGCAGGGAGCAGAGTTTTCACAAGACAAGCAATGGGGGCTGGCGAGAGAGCTCAGTGGCATACGCACCTGCCTGGCAAGTGCAAGTCATTAATTCAATCCCAATACCAAAAAAAAGCAATGTGAGGAAAGGGAAGAAGCCAGCTCATGGAGTCCCACACAAACGTGGGGTGGTTTGTTCTCTAAAGATACATTAACGTTCATCCTTAACCAAAAAGCCATATCTGACAGGAAAAATGAAGGATTCCAATCATCAAAGACCTCAGATTTCTGTTAGAAATCTTTGGAAACAGCCATAAATTCCCCAGCCGATGACAGTTTATTCCCTCAAGTACATGTCACCCTCACCATTGCTGTGTCGGGGGGCCCTGGCCCACTGACCTCAAGCTCACGTGCTTTGCCCAAGTTACCTGAGTGAATCTGGGACTGAGAAAGGAGCTGGCCTGGGTTGTGGCCAGAGCCTCAGCATGCACACAAGCTGCCTGGATTAAGGCCCCGTCCTTCAGCTTACCAGCTGGCTAACTTTGAGCAAGTTACTATACCCTCTAAATCTCAATTTCCTAATCTGAAAAATGAACAATGACACACAAACCCAGAAGCAGGATAGGAACAGAGTAAGGTGACCCACGAGCCCCTGTAGCCTAAGAAAAAATGTGGTGTGTGCTTCTTGTGCCACCCATCAATTATTAACAATGACCTTGTTCGCACTCGAAATGGCCTCAGTTTGCCTCAACAATTCCATGGTCATCCTGGGGAGGTGAGACGGTTGACGTAAAGGATCAAGTACATGAAAGTCTCTTAATAGTTTGTCTTCTTTCCCTTCTGATTTTTAAATGAGATCCAGTTAGCATTTTCCACACAGCTTCTTTCCAACTCTTCAAGATAAACTATTATCTACTGCTTCTCTGGAAAACCTCTCTGTCTCTGTCCTTCGCTCCCTTTCTGCTTTCTCTCTCTCTCTCTCTCTCTCTCTCTCTCTCTCTCTCTCTCTCTCTCTGTTACACATAGGTTTTGGACAAGGTTTTTGGCATATCATATAGGTTTTTTTCTTAAATTTCAGGATTTGCCAAATAGCTTCATAACTCAAATCAAAAGGAAAATGTACTAAGTCCAACACTGGCCCAGGACAGGATTTCTCAGCTTCAGCATGACTGATATCTTGGGGCAGACAACCCTTTGTTGTCATGAGTGGAAGATGTCCCAGGCTTTGTGAGATGTTCAGTTCAGCAGTATTCCTGTCCTTTACCCACTAGATGCCAGTAGCCACCCCACCCTCTTCTAACAACTAAAAATGTTTTCAGACATTGTTAAATATGCTTGAGGGAAAAGATCCTAAGAGTCCTTAAATGAAAGATTATTACAGAAGGTCACAACAGATTAACATCTGGGGACAAAGCCACATTTCTTGGGGATGTGCACTCTTACTAGAGCCAGACTCATCGTGTCTACTACCTGTTCCATTCCTGGCTTATCCTTGTGGTACAGCGGCCGAGTTTCTATGTGCTCGGGAACCAGCCTACATCCGGCCTGTGGGATGTCCTCCCAAGAGTGTAGGACCTTGAGGGCCAGGTGCTCGTAAGACTCCACTGTCTCATCTGCAGGTGGAAAGACAAAGGCGGAGACTTGCTAGATATGTCTACCTGCAAAGAGAGAGGGCGCTGCCAGCGGCATGGTCAAATACTTGCCTTAGAGGTTCCTTTAAAAAGTACAGAGATACACACGGAGCAAAAAGACAGAAAAAGGAAGATGGAGAAAGTGGTGAGAAAGAGAAAGAGATTTGAACTGTAAAGAGGAGAAAATGAAGTGAGTTGATTAGAAGATTGACAGCACAGTAAGGACCCTGAAATAGGGGCTCCATCTACACTTAAGTCAGCTTCCACAAGAGGCCATCAGTCAGAAGATGGGTTCCAAGCACCAGGAAGGGCATTTTTGTGGAGAGATAGAATTATTTTCTATCACCACAGTGCGAGGTGCTGGAAATTAGGTAGCCCTGGTAATGTGGACATGTGTTTCTGGGTGTCGTTTTTTAAAAATATTTTTTTTAAAAAAAATCATTTCTTTATTTATTTGGTACAGGGTCTCACTATGCATCTTGGACTCATGGTGGTCCTCCTATCTCAGCCTCCCCAGCACTGAGATTACAGGTGTAATCCCCAGCTTCAGTGACCTGCATGGCAGCATGTGGTACTGGGGGTGGATCCTGGGTCCTTGAGCTCCAGGCAGCCACTCAGACTGCCTAGCTTTCTCTCCAGCCCCATTTCTGGCTGTCCTTTGTCTGCTTGTTTCTGACTAGGATCTGCTTCCTACCAACACCTGCCCAGTGTATGGGTCCTCTGAGCTGTCATCCTATGGTAGGAGTTCAGCTCATCAATGAAAAATTGTTGGTGGAAAGCACACTTGCAAAATAAGACAAAAATTCTTGAAAGAACAAAATCTTGATAAAGTTTAAAACGGCAAAATTTGGAATCAGAAAATTGAAAGTGGCTCTAGTAACTATTAACAATGATTCCCTGTGGCAATAATTATAACCAGTAAAAGTTGACAGGGTTGAACAAGTAACCAGTGAGCAAATCTTTGTCATAAATTTTAGTCAATCAGGAGTTGACCTTATGAACATAACTTCAGATTTTAGTAGGAAAAAAAAACAGTAATTCTTTCATGTTGAGGTGTTAGACTACTGACCAAGGAACTAAGAATATATGGTCAAAAAATACTTTTCTTAACAGGAAGGCATCCATATATCATTAACACATCGTCTAAATATCAATAACATTGCATGGAAGAACCTTCAGTAAGTTCTTGGGGTTCATAATAACAATGTATAAAGAAGTCTTGGTGGCATACTCTGAAAATATCCTTTATTGGGCTCTTTGTATCAAAAGCACTGAGCTATTACATGGAAATGTCAAATACAAGAATTGTTCTGTATCATTAAAGCTGAAGTGGCCTTTCCTTATCCTAAATTTATGGAAACCCCTATGGGCTCTTCATGGTCTATCCTATGATGCTCATAGGGAACGCCTACTTCTTAGAGTGAAAGTAGAATAGTTATCTGTGAGAATAACTAGGATAATATACAATTATATAATATTTATTTTTTACAGCCTACCTTCTGGCACAATTCCATTTCTATAACCTATACTTTAGAAATACAGAAAAATGCACAAAAATATATACAGGGAAGTTTGTTGTAACATTGTCTCTGCAAGAAATTGAGGGCTGGGGAGGTAGTTCAGTGGAATAAGTGCTTGCCTGGCAAGCACAAGGTCCTGAGTTTGATCGCTGGAACCAGAAAGAAAGAAGAAAGAAAGAAAGAAAGAAAGAAAGAAAGAAAGAAAGAAAGAAAGAAAGAAAGAAAGATTGAACAGAATGTAATTAAGTGGCACAACCATAAAATGGAATGTATCTACGAACATTCCAAAAAAAAAAAAAATCAAGGAAAATCCTCATAATATATTGAATATAGAAAAAAGAAGGTGCACACACACACACTCACATACACACACTCACACACATACACACACTCACATGCACACACACTCACACACACTCACACACTCACACACACATACACACACTCACACACATACACACACTCACATACACACACTCACACACACTCACACCCACTCACATACACACACACTCACATACACAAACACTTACACACACTCACACACACACTCACATACACACACCACACACACTCACATACACACACTCACATACACACGCACACACACACACACGCACACTCACACACACACACACACACACCGAGGAAATGTACTAGCATGCAGCTTGCCTATCTCTGGACTGGGGCTTGTAAATGGCTTCCATTATCCTGTGTGCTTTCCCTTATTTTCTCCTGTGAGCATGCACTCCTTTTGTAAATAGAGGCCCACTTCCGCTAGCCAAAGAACGCATAGCACCCAGCCTTTCAATAGCAGAGCAACAGCAGCAGACTACTTTGCATGAAGTTACCAGTGTCCTCTTCAGTGAAGACAGTTTTTCCAGAAAAGACTTTGCTTCCTATCTGTACTTGTCCAGGGCTAAAGTAGGGCCCATCCAGCCTGTTGTCTTTGCAGAGCTTGGTGAGGATTTCTGTGGGCTTGGATGTGTCCCTCCAGGCATTGTATCCCTCTCTGAAAGGCAGAGAAAGGGTGAGTGGGGGGAGGCCCGCTTTCCCCTGGAAAACACATTTTGAGATCCCCGTTACACAGGTGGCCCCGGTGCGCCCTACGCGGCTCCCTGCAGATCCCCTCGCCATTCTGCACCGCTGCAGCTAGAGATTTTATTTTTTCTCCCTTCTGGCCAAACACCTTTGTATGTGTGCAGCTCTGAGTACGTTCACGTAACACTGGACTTGGGAGCAGCCTCACATGACAAATCCTTGGCAGCTAGTTCTGCTGTTTTAAAGTAATGCAGTTTTCCTTAAAAATCACCTGAAGTGAAATTCACATAAAAGTGACCGTTTTAAAGTTGACTAGTTCAGTGGCATTTGGCATATGCACACCGAGGGGCAATCAGTACCTCCGTCCAGTTCTGAAAAGTACCCATCACCCCAAAAGAAAGGCTGGAGAGCATACTCCTCTTGGCAGATAATTATCGCCTAGGTTTTTTGTCATGTGTACAACAGTCATTTGATGCTAATTCCATGAGGAAAGCATTGCTCATCCTTTCAGTTTCTCTGCTTCTTTCTTCTTTTCTCCCACAAAAAAATTTGTTAACAACTTGGGCTACCGGTAGGTGGTCTTGAGATGATGTTTCTCTAAGCAATGATTTTCCTAGGGGTGAGTTTCTACATTTTTCCAATTCTTTTTTCCCTTAAAAATAGCTGTTTAGTTAACAATTATCAACTTGCAATGCCATGTCTTCCAAGGACTATAACAAGGATAAGATTGAATGCTTCTGCTCACGGAGGCAGGAAGTTCATCAGAATTCAGCTTGCTCAAGCACTGAAATAAGCTGAAACATGCCTCATAAAACAGTGATATGTGAAGATTCTGTGAAGTCATCCACATCAGCTTCAGAGCTACACACAGGCCTTTCCAGAAACACATGCACTTATCTTACATACAATTTTTTAGTGAAAAGATTTCATTTCCCCCAGCTAATCTGTCTGGTCCCAGGCAGGTCCACTGGGAGGAAATACTCTGACCAAAGCTTGTGCCACATTAGACTGTGGCCACCTACTTTGATTTCAAAGTAAGAATCGCTAATCAACTTGAGCAGAATACTTCTAGCTACTTGGAGAGCCATGCAAATACCTCAGGGGTCTTATGAATTCACTAAACCAGCTCTCTAGGGTCAGGTAATAGCTAACCAGGCAGAGAACGCCTGAAAATCTTGCCAAGGAAGAAATAGATTCTTGATTCTGTTATACCTGTAGGGCATTACATTGGGTTATGACAACCCATCCCACACTTTTTTCTACTGTGCATTTGTACTTTAGCATAATAGCAGCTGGCTGTGCATCTCAGTATCTGCACCTGGGAGATACAGGGAACAATTGTTGCTTACCCACTTGGTACAGTGGATGGTAAGGTGTATGCACATGGGAAGAACTATAAAACTAGAGTCTTTATCCACATAATGTTCTATCGTACATGCTTCGTGTATGTTTACCTGAGCATCACGGGGGGTAAAATACACCCACACCACTCTTCTGTTATATAAACATGTATTTTACCATAATGGAATGTGGTTGTGACTCACAGTAGTTGTATCTGAGGAAAGAAAACACCCGTCTATGCATTTATCCACTTGGCAGACGCATGTCAAGGTGAGCGCCAAAACAGCACAGCTAAGTTTTACTCATGAAATACTCATTGCTAAACTTCGGTACTTTAATCAACTGATATAGACACAGGGAATGCACACCTCCTCCAATCAGATGAAGAAGAAAACAGTAAATGTTAGTATATATTTGAGTCAGAATGGTACAAAATGGTCATGTAACTAAATGAAATGATCCAATGTTAGAACTACATTCAAAAATATAGTGAGGATACTCACAGGGGTGAAATCTATTGGGTGTAATGCCAGTACTGCCATTCAGTATTGGAAATTGTTTGCAACAGATGAAATGCTACAAGATGTTGTGAAATATACAGGTGCTGAAATATGAGTAAAACATTCTGTACTGGTTGATGTATTGTGTCAACTTGATAGGTTTACAAGTTTAATTAAGTGACTCAGCAGACAGCCAGGGTTCTTAGTTTATGAACATCCTCATCCTGTGCAAGAGGAAGGCATGGACATTGTGTGAGTTCTACACCCCCACCCCAGGGTATCTTGTTTATAATACAAGCAGGGGTGAGACACTGGCTAGAAGCCACAGCTGCTGCCCTTCACTCTGCTCTTCGCTGTTTTCTGCTGCCATAAACTTCTGCCCTCTACTGTGTGTCACTCTGCCTGGGAGCCAGCCAAGTATAGACTAAAACCTCCACAAACTGTGAGCTTAATAAACCTTTCCTTCCTTAATTTTAGGTGTCAGGTGTTCTGTCCCAGCAACACATAAAAAGTAACTGAAACAAATTCTGTATCAACAACGCTAAAAAATGCATTTATTATGACATTTCACTAGCTGAATTGAATGTGTTGATGCCGTATTTTGCTTAGTAGGTCTAAGACCAGAGTCATGAAAAGTACTTAGGAGGGCTTTCTCATGGTAATCGCAGGAATATAAAAGCTTATGGAAAAGCAATGTGAGAGGGATTGGGGTTTGTAGAATAACACTAAGATTTAGTTTCCCTCAAAACTGCCTAAGGTTTGATGACAAAACCACTCACCAAGAGAGACAAAGAACTGATAATCTGCTTCTGTCTACTCATTGTTTGAGATTTGTGGGTAACTCAAACAATTTACACACCACCTGAATGTATGACTATTGAAGAGCATCTTGCAGGATGTCATGGTTCTTGTAGCTTGAGGCAGTATATGCCCAAACAGCCTTCAAAATATGGCATAAATATTTATGCACTTGTAGACTTAAAGACTTATCATGCTTTGCATCCATGATAATGCAGCTTTATGACAAAATTTGTATTATTCTCCTAGTATTTGGGGTGTGAATTGAGCCAGGCATGGGAGTGCACACCTATAATTCCAGCACTCTGGAAGGTTAAAGCAAGAAGATCACGAGTCCAAACCCAGCCTGAGCAACTTAGAGACTTAGTAAGATCCTGTTTCAAAGTTTAAGAAGGTGCTGAGGATATAGCTTAGTATAGGTGCCCCAGTTCAATATCCAGTACATAAAAGTGTTAATTGACATGACCTCTCTGGAAGATCATTTGGACATTTTGGACACAGATATATTAAAAGTCCTTAAAATGTGCATTTTCTTTAATGGACTACTCCACATTGATGGATGAATACAGTGGTACATTGGTTCATGAATTTGATTCTTTTCATGATTCTGGTCACCAACTGAGTTAGAAGAGAACCAAATCAAATTCAGTGGTCAGGTTCAGTGCTGACTTTATGGGAAATTTCAGTGAGTCCTCATCCCATTTGGTTTGCCTCCAAAATCATAGAGAATTGAGTTCATGAACTGAGGTACTACTGTGTCTAGCAAATTATCAGAGAGGTATGCAATGGCTTTTGCATGAGAATGCCTATAGCAACAATATTTATAAAGTAATAAAAAAATATAAATGACCTACAGTTTAGGAAAACAAATTGCCATACTATTTCACAATAAATTCATATGATAGAATACCATAAAGTTATTAAATTAATGATTATTAACAATATTAAATAGCATTTTAAAGCACTTAAAATATAAAGGTAAATACAATAAGCAGGTTACAAACTTCAGTAAGTAGTATGCAGGAGAAAACAACATAGAAAAAATACTAAAAGGAAATATATAAAAGCACTTATGCAAATTACTTCAGGGCAAAATAATTTGTAGTTACAATTCCTAAATTTTCTACAATGAATATGTAATATTTTATATTCAGGAAAACATTTTACAATTACATCATACAATATCAGTTAATGTTTTATATTTTGTAGTTGAAATATATGTTATTTTAAACATATTGGCTACAACATACTCTAAAATAAAGTAAAACGGGTAGTCTAGATTTTAAATATAGTAGAATACAAAATGTTTGCAAGGAGCAGAATTGGATATATTCTTCCTTTATTGTAAAATGAAGGCAACACCTCAGTAGGTTGAAAGAACTGAATGGGATACTGATGTGAGCTCTCAGGACGGCGACTGGGATACCATAAGCACTCAGAACATTATTTACAGAATGCAGCATTTAAATTATATTCAGCGTTCTTCTTTTGATGTCATTCCCCACCTGGCGATGATGACCACCAAGCACAGCTGACTGAACAAGCATGTTTTGGTGTGATTCTGGAAAACCTTCTTTGACTCTAAAGCTGCCTTCCCAGCCCCAAGGACCTCAATACATGCAGAGCGCATCTGAGCACTTACAACGGAGCCTGATCGGCCTCCTTAAAAATGGACCATAGGAGGCAGAGCCCAGAGCTCTGGCCTCAGAACACCCACACTGTCTCCATGAGAAAAAGAGCTTACACTTCATACTGGCTCTGTAGGCCACAGATAGCTCGGTGTTTGCTGTAGAAGCGATTCTCCAGGTCAATCTTGGTCTCACCAATGAGGTCATCTGTCCCAATCATGTCATGGTCGTAGATGAGGACAGTGAGCAGGGACTCCTTTGGGAATGTGGCTTGGATCTCAAATGACCTGCAATCCAGGCAAAGGGTTCAGGAGTCAACAGTGTTTAATAATACAAAGAATTTCCCCCAGCTTTGCCTTTGGCTCACCTGCTGTTCATATAAATCCCACAATTCAGCACTTGTGTTAAGACTTATTTAATTTCTCAGTGAGATGTAATCAATTTCCTGTTCTTTTCTCAGTTTCTATTAGCCAGTTTCTTTTGTGAGCTTTATCTTGCAGCCTTCAGCTAGGAATTTCGGCCTCAGACAGGAATGATTTTCAACTTCCTGGTTGTGAAACTTAAGGGAAATATGTTTTTGGTTTTGGTTTTGGTTTTTACTCTCTTTCAGGCTCTTTGTGTATATGAAGATGACTAGGTCTTCTTTATAGTGATTGGTAGTACAATGGATTTTTCACGCTACTGAGTTTCAGCCTTACAGCAGATGCTTGAGTGAAACCTTGCATTCCAAAGAAATGTCCTCTTAAAAATGAAGTGTTTCTCCAGGTATTATATACTATATTCTCTTTGAAACAGGATGGGCTGGAATCACAGGCCAGAAAAAGGGAAGGAGAAGGTGGGCCCCTTAGTCCCCTGCATGTCCCCAGTGCTTTCTGGGCTGTTGTCATCATGCTCAGATCCACTTAGCCCTGACACTTGCTCCCCAGCACAGCTCTGTAATCACAGGCCTCGGATGCCGGTCTGCCCGGAAGCCAATTTGCCCTCCCCAGAGAGCAAAAGCAGAGCTGCTGCTGGGCAGCTCTGGAACGGGAACTGACAGAAGTGGCTCTAGCAGGCCAAGGGTGTGGCTGCACAGGCAGAAAACTACGTGTCTCCTTTCCATGTGCCTTCTTCCATCAGGCATAGTGTGGTGCACCTGGGATCTCAGCTTTGGATTCTAAGCTTAATTGGCATTCCTGGAGACCCTACAAGGAAGCCTCCAGCAGCTTCCCTTGGACTCTTCATCATCACGTTGTCTCTGTGGAAAGACTCAGTAAGGTCTTCACTATGTTGGCAACCCAGACAGAGAACTTGGTCTCTTTGGCGCACCTCCACCTCCTGTGCTCACAGATGAACCTTGCCTCAACTTAAACTGCAGCTGTCATTCAAAGAGTCACCAAAAACAACCACCATGGCTGGAATTCAGTCACTCGGACAAACTGGTGCCTGTCAGCTTGTGGGTCAATGCCATTCCTTTGTTAGATGCAATGTTAGCTTAAGAGACAAAGAATCAAGAAATGAGCAGAAACAGTGAGAGCAGAGCCTCTGGACTTTGGAGCAAAGACGCGCTATCCCTTTGTCCCTTCATTTATTCTTTAGCTCAGCCATTTGTTCACGTGACATTCATTACGCATCCACTATTTTCTACATTTTTCTGATAAGTAGATGGTTTCTGAGTAAATTAGGCAGACAATAAAGTGACTAAATGAGATGCAGGGCTTATTAAGGGGAAGATGTTGGGAGTATACCTGGCTGAAAGGAAGAGTAAGGACGTGAAGAGGAAGTGTTTTAGCTGGGGCTGGAGTGAAGGCAAGAGTCCTCCCAGCTCCAGATTCACACAGCTTCTAAGCTGAGTGTCTGACCCAAGCAGCTCAAGTTCCCTCGTTGTACAGTCTCCACACATCTCTCCTTTAAAGCACTCTGCACACTAGAAATTCTATGTGTGTCTGATGTTTTGGTTTGTGCTTGCTTCCCACATGAGGGCATCGCTCCCATGGAAACAGAGCCATGTCCCCTCTGTACTTCTCCAGGGCTTGACACGGTTTCTGCTGAATGACCATCTGATGGGACAAAAACAACACTCACAGCATGGTGGTCAATATAATGTGTCAACTTGGCTGGGCCCCAGTCTTCAGCCATTCAAACACTAATCAGGCGTTGCTGTACAGGTATTTTGTAGATGTAATTAACATCTATAATTAGTTGACTTCAAGTTAAAAAAGATTGTCCTTGGCAATTTAGGTAGGTCTGATTCAATCAGCTGAAAGGCTTAAAAACAATATGAGCGAATGAAAAGCAAAAACAATACAGAGCTATTGCTGGGATTTGAACTGTGTCTCCTCTAAATGGTATGTTTAAATCTAATACCTGGTACCACTGAATGTGATTTTAGCTGGAAATAGTATTTCTACAGAGGTGATCAAGCAGAAATGAGGACGCACCCTAGGCCCACGACAGGCAAGTTTAAAAAAGGTAGAAACATGGGCTGGCAAGATAGCTCAGTGGTCTAAAGCACCTGCTTAGGCAAGCTTAGGCAGGCGCAGGGACCACAGTTCGATCCCCAGCACCACGTGCCTCACCAGCCCACCCCCAGGGCATGAAGAGCCAGCCACAAAAAAATAATTAATTAATTAATTAATTAAGAAACATAAAAAGGTGGAAATAACACAGCGACAGAAGTGCAAAAATGGAGGATAAAGTGAAAAAGCCCAGCAGGGTGAGGGGAACTGAAGCTGTGGCAATACATCTGCAAACAATGAGCACCAAGGATTGCCCAAAGCCCCGGGAAGCAGGCGAAAGCTGGGAAACAAAGGCTCTTCTTAGTTACTTCTTTCATTGATGGGACAAGACAGCTGACACCCAAAGTTAAAGGAGAAAAGTTATTTAGGCGCACAGTTTACACAAGTGTCAGTCCACAGTAGGATGGCCCCAGAGCAGGGCGGCATGGCGGAGGAGACACACTTCATGGGGGTGAAGCGGAGCACAGCAGCGGCGGCAGCAGCAGCGGACCAACAGTGACCCAGCAGTGTTTCTGCCCCTTATATCCTATACAGGCCGCCTCCTCTTAGGTCAGCACCATTATCAAGTCCAGCATCCTACCCTTGACCCCAGCATCACACACCCTAGATCCAGCCACCTCCCCAAAAGCCCCACCTATGACTGCATGAGGCTGTGGGGGACAGCTAGATATAAGCCGTGACAGCCTCCTTCACAGCTCACGCTGCCAAAACTGAAAGTGCAAGTCAGGACAAAAATGTAGAATGTTGTTAAATAGGAAAAAAATGTCCAAATGGGAAGGGGAATTACTGTGTGGGAAGGGGAAGGGGAAAGAAAGAAAAAAATGATGGGAAAAGAAGGAAAAAAATGGAAACAAAGCAAAAAAATAAAGAGGGGAAACAGGACTGAAGAGAAGGTAGGATAAGGGGGGAATGAATCAAGTTATATCACATACACTACTAATTCCCTATAATGAACAGAATCATTATGTTCACCTAAAAATGTACAATAAGCTTAATTTAAAAAGGGACTTATACTGCTGACAGGCTGATTTCAGATTTGTAGTCTCTAGAACTGCAGATAATCCATTTCTGTTGTTCTAAGCCAACCAGTTGGCACTATAAAACCAACAAGTAGTGTGTGGTGTGGTGTGTGTGTGTGTGTGTGTGTGTGTGTGTGTGTGTACAAACCCATGCAGTCCACAGTCTTCCTGTGGCAGAACCCTGGCTGCTACTCATAGTCCCTGCAGCATCCCATCCCCTCTCCACTCTGGACTTCACATGGCCTGCTTCCTAGAACACCATCTCTCATCACCATGGTACCTCAAGAGATCCAGGTGCCCTCCCAGTGTTTGCGCAGGATTTGCTGTACTCCATAGAAGCCTTAGAAGGTATAGACTAGCAGAATCAGAGACAAGGTAGATTTTAAACAATGGTGAGGAACCAGTGGAGTCCTGCAGGTAAACCAGGAAAAGAAGAATCCCATGGTGAGGCCACAGCAAGTGTAGAGGCCTACAGGAAGGAACAAACCAGAGGAGAGGCACCGCCGTCTTAGTGACCCATAGCCCAGACCCATGGGAATCATTTTATGCATGTTGATTCTCAAGACAAGGAGATGACAGAGGATATTTGGGAAACCATGGGAACTGTAAGCAACTGCCAAACCCTGTGGACATGTACAACCTCGTCATATGCAAATGACACAGCACCATCAAATCCCATCGGCACATGCTTGGGGTGTTGTCTGAGCACGAATTTACTCACTCACTAATTCATTCCATAAATAATTATTGAGCACTTTCTGCATGCCAAGTCGTGTCTTGGGTGCTGGGGATGTGGCACTGACCAGATGGGACCAAGATCATGCTCAAACAGTTGTAACCTTCTACTGTGCAAGTGGCCAATAAACACTTAATGCATCAATGCATGGCAGAGGCCATGAAGGAGAAAGTAAGGCAGGGCAAGGCACCAGACATTAGGATGGAGGCTGAAGCTTCCTCACATGAATACTACAGCAATGAGATCAAAAGTAGGGGCTTTAGACCCAAGGTCAGAGCCCACTGCTGTCCCTGTGAGAACATTCTAGAACTGAACTGGCAATTTGTCCCTGAGCAACAATTAAATACACGTCCCACAAAACTAGTCTACCTGGAGAAGTTTTGGCGAAGCCCTGCAAAGCCAAAGGCAGGAGGAAATAGTCCAACATCCTCTTCTTTGTTTTCTGTGGCCACATTGGAGGTAAATAAAACCAGTCTAATTTGTGGCACTGTGGCAGGGACAAATTGCCAGTTCAGTTCTAGAATGTTCTCACAGGGACAGCAGTGGGTTCTGACCTTGGGTCTAAAGCCCCTACTTTCGACCTCATTGCTGTAGTACGCATGCAAGGAAGCTTCAGCCTCCATCCCAAAGTCTGGACGTGTATTCAATCTCTCTAATTGTGGGACGTGTATTTAATCCTTCCAGCATGAAGCACTTGGTTTCATTAGTGGCAGGTAATGATAAAGGTCACCCGGCTCAGGGGAGAAGGGTACATTCCCTGGCACTGCCGCTTTAGTCATCCACATGAGTCTGCAGAGGCAGGATAGTTTACTGCCTCATTTCCCAGGAGCAATAAAATCTAAGCAGCGGACGCTGATCAAATGTCAGAGGGTTCAACATGATTACAAATGAGTCAAGATATTTAAATGACACTGAGAGAGATTTCACCCTGTGTTCCTAGTTAACCAGGAAAAAAAAGGAATTGAATATACCCAAAATACGTCTGCTGCTACAACTCCCGAGGAGAAGGGGAGGGAGCGCTGTGCTTTGTGTTGATTCTGTGCTAACACAGCAGGCTCCAGTCTGCACACGTCCCTCCAGAAGAAACGGAGCCAGAGTCAGCGTGGCTTTACAGATGAGCAAAGGATCAGAGGGGCTCAGTCCTCTGCACGAGGTCACCCTGCGTGGATGTGGCAGAGGGAAACCCAAGGGGCTTTGACTTCAAGGTCAGCACTAGCCAGCAGGGCGAGCCCACGGTGGGCACATCAGCGTCTGACCACCCGATCAACAAGAGAGGTGGGGTCTACCCAAGCATGCGCAGAGACAGTGGATTTTAACACTTTTCAGGAAAGCAAAATAATTGGGGGATGCAGTTCAACTTTTTGATCCCAGAGGTCCCCTTCCTTAAGTAGCAGAATGATGCGCTGGGAAAATCTCTCTAGCAGAAAGCAAAAGACCAAACATCTGGTCACTTCTCTTTGAACTGTGAGCTTCGTAGACTTTGCAGGAGTTTGCTTACCATTTATAGAGAGGAAGTCTGCTCTTTACACTTGCCCAAAAGCCAGGTGTAAAATCTGACAGTCCCTCAGGGTGCCTCAAACTTAAGATGTGGGAAATGATTACTAGAATACTCTGTGTGTTCAGATCGCCGAGTCCCATGAAATTACTGAGGGGACCACAGAAAAAATTCTCTTTCTCCATGAACATAGGTTTTATTAGCTGTTGTTAAGGGCAGAAACTAGGATTTAACTTCCTATCACTAATTTACCCAAGACTCTCCCATTCCATCACACACACACACACACACACACACACACACACACACACACACCACAACCCTCCAAGAAACAAGGAAATGCAGAAACCACAAGGAAATGCAGAAACCACAACACAAACTAGATGGCCACTGACCTTCCAAATACCGGATTCAGCTGCTTGGGGATGTATTTATCCCGGTCTTTGATTTCTGTCTGGCCAAGTCTGAGAACGATGTAGGGGTCTGATTTGCCATCTGGATCAGCTGGGCTAAGATTAAATGCCTGAAGAGGAAGAAGAAAACCCCCTTTGTTCTGCCAACTCCACACTGGCTGCACACAGGCTAATCCAGTGCTTTCATAAATACACACCCAAGTGCTAGCTCCAGACACTTTGATTTAATGAGCCCTGGGCTTTGGGATTCTTAAAAGCTTCCTAGTGCAGCCAAGATCACTGGTCACTTCTCTTTGAACTGTGAGCTTCATAGACTTCACAGGCATTTGCTTACCCTGTTTATAGGGAGGAAGTCTGCTCTTTACACCTGCCCAAAAGCCAGGTGTAAAATCTGACAATCTCTCAGGGTGCCTCAAACTTAAGATGTGGGAAATGATTACTAGAATACTCTGTGTATTCTGCTTTAGCTTCTCATTTTATTGCTAAAATAAAAATTATAGGGCCAGCTAAACAGCTCAGCGGATTAAGGCACCTGCATGCAGGCACAGGGGCCAGGGGCTTGATCCCCAGATCTGCTGTGTTGGCCCTGCCCCCAGGGTGCACTAAAATGGCAATTGAGCCTGGGCGTGGTGGCGCATGCCTGTAATCCCAGCTGTTGGGAGGCTGTAAACAGGCAGATCAGTGTGAGTCCGATCTAGTAGTGAGACCCTGAACACCCTGTAGACCCTTCCCTAAAATTTACACTGAAGTTCATCCTCGCTTTGTGTCGTTGTCTCAGTAGAAAGCTGTTTGACACAGTCATGGGAACATCAGGACCTGGAGGTCCCAGGATGAAATCGAATTCCAGTTCCAAGCAGCTGCATGGTCTTGGACAAGTCACATTGCTGCTGTGCCCTTTCAGGGAGGTCATTGCCCTGTCCAGCGCCAGTGGTCACTGAACCCCTGACCCGTCAGTCTTCCATTTGGCAGGCACACATGACCTAGTCCCAGTCATGAACTCCAATCCAGACCTGCTGGTGCTCAAGCTACAAACAGTGAATACTTGGTAAGCAGAGGCCATGGTGGGAGGTGGGCAGGGATGGCATCGAAAAGCTAGAGGACTTCAGTGGCGGCGAAAGCTGAGTGAGAAGTAGCCCATTACTTAGGGCTTTCTCCTAGAGATAAAATGGCATAAGCCTGTAAAGCTTATGTTTGTGGATGTTCTCTTAGGCATTGTTCAACAACCCCAAACTATAAGCATTTTCAATGGGGAGAAATATGGCCTCAAATAGCTTCCCCTCTATTTCTCCTCATCACAGAATCAATGTTCATCCTCTACACAGCAGTGATCCTGACATTGATCCGGTTTTTTATCTGCCCCTGTGTTTATTCTAGTACTTTCGAATCACCACACCACTCTACGTGCATGTAATTGGCACGGGAGCGAGGACACTCTCCTGTTCTTTATCTCTGGGACACAGAACTGGGTCTTCTTAACATTTGTTGAGTGAATCGATACTAAATTCATTCACGAGCACACCCTGCAGCTGCTGGAGCTGCAAGACCCACATATGCCGATGTGGAGTAATGCGCACAGTATCCCGACAAGGACGAGAAAAGAGATGAGGAAATTTATTTCTTAATGCAGTTTGAAGCAATCTTTTAAAACTTTCTTTTGTCTTATTAAATTAAATATTTTAAAAATAATCTGTTATAGAGTTAATGACGTATTAGCGTACGAGAGACAGCCACACACACTCACTACGGCCAGAAAGATCGGTGAAAAGCAGTGGACAGGTATAACCCCAGGAACTCTCTCACACCCCAACCTAGGAGGCCACCCTGGCTTTGTTCAGGTCCTCAACCTCCCACTCAGGCCCTTTTCCTCTCTGCTGCCTCATCGGGAGCAGCCTGAGCTGCCGTCTTGCTTGTTGTCTGGAGGGCTCTCTCACACACACACACGCGCGCACACACACACTCGCACTCTCTCTCTCTCTCACACACACACACACTCGCACACTCTCTCTCTCTCACACACACACACACACACACACACACAGAGGAATGCAATAGATAACTGCTGAAGGAATAAATGAATGGGAACAGATCCTTCTCTGACCTCTGTAGACCACAGAAAGCTCTCCCTCTCTTTCCTAATATTCACACCCTCTATTTCTGTATTCCCCCAACTGTGTCCCAGAAAATCTTAGCTCTTTAGGCCTTTAAAGGTGGGAGTGGGGTGAATATGCAAATGAGTTGTAAATTTCAGGAGCTAGAGAACGAAAATGAATTATTAGATGCACTACTTTTCAAAATTACTTAAACACATGGTGTGTTTCTTGAGAATGCATATTAATTATCTTCCCTGACACAGATAACTTCCTGAATAATATCCCGTGGGTGGGTGTTTAATATGGACTATGCAGAGCTGCCAGGGTTCTGTACCAGAGCTCTGATCTTCCCAGCTGGACCACAACTTCCCTGAGGCCGACACACTGCCCTTTTCACAGCAGGTCCCCCGGGAACTCGGTGATGACACTCAACAGCAGTGGCCCTCAGATGCTAAACGGGACCTGAGAACTCCTCGACAGAAGAACATTTATTTCTCCTGTAACTTTTCAGAATTTTTATTTTGTGCTTCCTTTGTGCTTCTTAAAAAGAATGTGGACAATGTAAGCAAAGTTCCCCTAAGATCGCTACAATCCAACACAATTACGAAAATCAAGTCCAAGGACAGGATGAAAAACCCACGAACGGTGAGAGTCCATATAATTGCTTTGAGCCAAACGATTTTATGATACTTGGCCTTCTAGTTTCTGTCAATCAGGTCAAAATTTTCCATAATTAGAGCTCAATGCTCCCATTATCACACAGGGAGCGCCTAGAGGAAGTCATATTTTACTTGGAACTATGTTCACAATGAGTGTCTAACAAAGATGGTGCACAGGCCCAGCCTTGAGAGAGTCTCTCAGCAGAAGCTGTCTTGTCTGCCCAGCTTCTTACTGTCTTAACTGTGAGCTCTCTGCTTCAGCCCTACTTGGTTTCCTTTCCTATTAGTAATCCACTGATGACAGTAACTACTCAGAGAAGTCCTGAATGCCTGGAGCTGTTTTCTCTGAGTGAAAAGCCAGGAAATGTTCTTGTCACTGACTAAACTTCATAACTGTTGTAACTGAACTGTGAGCCCCCACTGCATTTGGTAAATCCCTAAACCCCAGAATGACTCCACTTTGGAGACAAGGCAGTGGCCAGTAATTATAATCAAACGAGGCCTTCTGGGGAAGGCTCTAATCTGATAGGGCTCTGTCCTTATCAGGAAGCGCAGAGCCCAGGGCTCTTTCTTCCCTCACGCACACGTGCACACACATCTGCACAGAGGAAAGACCAGCTGAGGACATAGCACAATGGCAGCCCCCAGACAGACCACACCAGAAGCCTCCCTGGCAGCACCTTGATCAGGGACTCACAGCCTGGAAACCTTAAGCAGCAAAGTTTTGTGGCTGAAGTCACCCCATCTGCGGGATCCTGTCACTTCAGCCCATACACTATTAACCCCCCAACCCAAGAACAAACAAGGACAGCTCACCGCAACGATGTACACCCTGATCAGGACCTGGACAGGGTGATTTGGTGGAATCCCTTGCTGGATTCTCAGCTGCCCCTTGTCCTCAGAGATGGACTCCTCAGGGCTTTTGTAGATGCAGAAGGAGCCCTGAAACCACAGAATGAAACACACTAGAATAAGACAGCCATAGGCCCCACCAAAAAACACAGAAAGCCTAACACCAGGAAAATGAGCCCAGCCTGGGTATCAGCGTGGCCTGGGCTGGGCTATCCTTGCCGTGTAACTGTGGACGTCCTTGGGCAGTTCATGCAAGCCGCTGGCATCTGAGCTTATTCTGGGTATGCTGATGGGTTGGGGTTGGTACGTTTAACGTCCTTGTCAGAGGACTGTGAGGTGAGGAACATGGTGGATGGGGTCCCTGTGCTCACGCCTCCCCCCTCACCTCATTCTATCCTGACTGCAGTATTCCTACTTCCAGAGACAGCTTGTGAGGACTAGAGAGGTAAGGTTCACTGCTCCAGCTGGGTTGTGTAACTAGAATTTAGATCCACATTGACAACGTATAACACCTTTGCAGCTCACCATGATGCACATTGAACAGTGGGTGGGTGGCAAATGCTAGCTGCCACTTGGTGATTCTGATACTGTGAACTAGCCAGACGAAGGGCTTGTGTGTCTGCTTAGTTTAGCTGTCCAATTGGTAGTGTGGCATGAGTCCTATATTTAGTGTGTTAGGGCTGGGCATGGCAGGGTAAAGCTCAGGGTCCCTTCAGGCAGACTCCGGCCCTGGACAGTCTACAGAACAAGCTTCGCTGGCTTCCAGCAAAGCCTGCAGCTCTGTGGTGGTTAGAGGTTAAGCGTTTTCCTCACACATCCCATGTTGGGCACCATTAGCATAACTGAGACACCACTGACACTTAGGTCAGGAGAAGCCAAGTAGTGGGCTTCACGCGGGAACCTGCCTTAAACTTGCCGATGACTCGGTCTCCATCCAGACCGTGGTCCTCCTCTGTGGACTTGCCTCGGAAGAGCTCAAAGGTTTTCACCCAGTCTTCAAAATTGTTGAATTCACTCTCGAGTTCACCATCAAATATCTTTAGAGGGAACAAAGAACATGATGCCGAGAGAAAGGAAGGCTCAGGGTTGATTTAACGAGGGATGTCAAGGTTCTCCCAAACAAACCTTTATATAAACCCCTTGAGAAAATGTAAGAGGTCATCGTTCAGTTATCTTTAACAAGATAAAGAACATGAGCTGGCTCAGTACTCCTGGGACTACTATATACTATGTATACCTATATCTATTCATCTGAGCAAGTTGGAGTTTTATAAAATATTTTTTGGTAAGCTTTTGGTTCCACGGATAAACATAGCTAACTCCCCCCCCAATTAAATATATAGGCATGAATATGACAGTCCATTTCATAGTTAATGGATGTCAATGGTTATTATACACGGACTATAGAACTTGGAAAAATTCAAATCTATGATGCTCATTAATTCTTAGCACATAGAAAGTGATGGGATATTTGTTTTTATCACAATGCATGAATTTTCCAAGTAGGCAATGATATATATGCTTTAGAAATGCAAAATGGAACTGAGTTTTGGATTTGGTAATGTGATGAGATTACTTATTCAAATTTGCTAATTACTTACTCAAATTGTCTAGCTACATACATAATCTTCATTCTTCAAATTTTTATTGCCATAAATACTCCTCTAGCTAATGTTAAGGTAGATCTAATGCAGCTGACTGTAATTGGAGTGAGAAGTCTTGCTATTTTGGGTGTGTGTACAACCACATGACGATGTCAAGCTCTGTGAGGTGAGCCCAGGGACACCCTATCGCGCGCCCTTCCAGGTCCAAGCTAAATGACCTAACCTATGTTCCTTCTCCATAGAGGGATGTAGAACATAGAAAATGAACAAGCTACATAGACTTGGTTTTACATGTTAACGTTTTCTTTTCTCTGCATCAGTGATTATAACAAGGACAAAGTAAGTTAGTTTAAGAAAGACTTTAGTTTGATCCTCACCACCACATACTACACCAGCCCCGCCCCCGTGTGTGCAGAGCCAGCCACTGAGTCCAGGCGTGGTGGCGCATGTCTGTAATCCCAGTTCTGGGGAGGCTGAAAACAGGAGGATCACTGAGTCTGAGCTGCATAGTGAGAACCTGTACCAAATACAAGAAGGAAGGAAGGAAGGAAGGAAGGAAGGAAGGAAGGAAGGAAGGAAGGAAAGAAAGAAAGAAAGAAAGAAAGAAAGAAAGAAAGAAAGAAAGAAAGAGCCTTTAGTAGGGTTGACCAAAGCACACACCTTCAAGACAGCCAGGTTGGGGATTCCATCATTTCCATCATCTTTCGGTTTCTTCTTCAGTATTTTGTCTTTTTTCTTCTTGGGGCCATCTTCTATTTCTAATACTACCTCATCTGGTTTGTTCTCTGTGGATATTCAGTGGAAATTGTTAAATGTCTCATGATATTTGAGATGAAAAGGAACAAAGCCAACCTCCCTCTTCCCCTCCTTTGGAATGTGCCATGCCCCTTCTTGAAACAAATAAAGAACCTTTCTGCAGCTGGATCACATAGCCCATATGCCACATGACTGATGGGAAGCGTAACATACAAATGCAATGTTTGCAGACCCAGCAGGGCCCGATAAACCAATGGCCTGTAGTGATGTGTGTTGTAAGGGCTCTCCATGTAGGCACACGGAGGTTGAGTTATTCACATAGCTCTTAAGGAATAGACCCAGGATGTGGATGGTTCTGAGGCACTTAGTTACATCGGCTCTCAAATGTCTTTAGGGACTAGAGATTCATCAGGTCCAACATGAGACTCAAATATTTAAGGGTCTCATGCAAAATCATGTGAATGAGATCAGGTAGTAAAATTTTAGCAGTAAACCCTGGGGGAAACTTGCCGGAGAAGCACTTCTAGCTGTGTGACTTGGACAGGTTCCTTGACCTCTTTGATTCTGTTTCATCTTCTTCAGGATAAAGAATCTATTGCTCTCTGTGACATGGAGCTGGTTGTAGAATTCTGTGTGCTGATCAGAAGTGGTCTAGCAACTACGTGGTCCACTTTCCCTGCTTCTATCCATGTCACCCAAAATGCCTAGGCTGTTTGGCATGGTATGTAATTAGGACCCACTGCTGGCTCAAACTGAGACTGTGGTCATTGCAAATCCCAGGCGCTTCTGCCAAATCGATCTATCCAATCCCTTGAAGCTTATTTGTGGAATCTAAATCCAGATCTTTACACTCACCTCTACTAAAGTTTATCATGCTGGGCTTGGCCCTTAATTCCAGCTGCTCCTCTTTTCACTCTGCCATTTCTATGTGAAGGGGAGGTCATGGGTAGGTCATGAGCTAAGGTTCAATTCCGGCACTGAACTGGAGTCAGAGGCTGGGGCTCAGCCCAGCTCAATTAGTTACCCAGCCTTTCTAAAGGGGTTTATTGAAAGTAAGTATTTATGTTTAATTATTTGACCAATCTTGCATATCTATATCTATTAATCTGAGCAACAGATTCAATGGTGAAAATGTGTAATACAACAACCATTGTTAACTTGTTATTCTTGTTTTGAAATTCTGTACCATGTGGATTGTTTTTTGTTACTATTTCTGTCTTCCTTTCTGCTATTTGCTTATACTCTTTAAAATAAAATTAAAAATAAGTTAAACATAAATAAAGCCTTGTCATTTTCCTGAGATTGCTTCTGAGTGTGGACTTTGGACAAGGATCAAGTTCTTTTTTTATTTATTTATTTATTTATTTTTATTTATTACATCTATTTATTGTGTGTGTGTGTGTGGCCAGCTCAGCCCACCAGGGGGCGGGGCTGGCTGGCATGTGGTGCTGGAGGATCGAACCGCGGTCCCTGTGCTTTGCCAAGCCTGTTTCAAGTAGGTGCTTTAGACCACTGAGCCATCTCTCCAGCCCAGGATCAAGTTTTTATACACATTTTATGGCTTCCAATTCCTCCCTATCCTACTACAATGGCCCTAGTCTGTGTCCCAGTGTCCCCGGAGTAGCTACTTACCTGGCTGTCCTTTATTCTCCTTAGTATTGCTTTCCTTTTCCTTTGAGAAAGAAGGAGACAAGGTTATTGACAACTCTTTGCCTAACTTGTCAGTCCCGAGTGCTCATAATTCTAACTCAATTATCCCAGTTTTCTGTACTCATGGGTATGCCATTCTACTTTATTTATTTATTTATTTATTTATTTATTTATTTATTTATTTATTGCAGTACCAGGGATTGAACTCAGGACCAGGCAAGTGCTTATTCTACTGAGCTATCTCCCCAGGCCCAGGGATGCCATTTAAAAGAGTATTCAAAGACCACCATCCCTTTCAAAGAAGTTCCCAGGTTGAAGCTGCCCTGGGAAGACATGGGGTGTCCTGCCTGGAAGTGCTACCAAGCTGTCGGCATCCTTGTTCTTCAAGGACAGCCTCTTCTCAGCTCCGGGAAGAACAAACTTGTTCTTCTTCTCCTGCATTTCCCAAGCACCCCCTTAGGATGCTCCATGGCCTCACATGTTGGCTCCTTGAGCTGGTTTGAGGCACTGGGGAGGCCGCGGAGAGGACAAGGACTGCACACTCACAAAAAGTGACAGCAACCAGGACAGAAGAGGAGGGGCTCAGAGGCACAAGCTAAGTTTTGTTTGTTAACATACCGTAATGTCAGTATTTGTGAGCCGTCCTAGATGAAGCTACAGTCTTTCTCAAGAATCACTAACCTCTATTCAACTATATGATGATAACATCTGACTTCTTCCTTTCAGTGAATCCTGTTCAATTTTTTTAAAAAATGAATTTAGTACAAGGGTCTACAGAGTCTTACTATGTAGATCAGACTTATAGTGACTCTTCTGTTTTCAGCCTCCCAAGCACTGGGATTACAGGTGCATGCCACCATGCTCAGGCTTAATTGCCATCTCAGTGCATCCCAGGGGTGGCGCTGGCACGGCAGGCTGGGGATCGAAGCCCGACTGCTGCACTCTGCCAAAGCAGGCACTTTAGTCCACTGAGCTTTCTAGGTGGCCCGAATCTTGCTAAATTTAATCACTGAGCTTTAATGGGCTTTCCTGACCTCTACTCCAGCCTGATGACCTGGTCCTTGTCTTAAAAATACTCCATGAGCTCAAGGCTCTGCTCTTGCTTAGGAAACCCATTAATTGTCGCCATTTGCTACGACCGAGAGCTTCCTTGACTTTAATCATTTCCCAGATGCATGTGGGACCCTGCTGGAGACCTGAGTCCCTCGACCTGGGGAACTCCAAGGACACTGACACCACTGTCACTGATGGTCACCTGTCAACAATGGCCTTGCCAGTCGCTTTTGAGCCTGACTGGGTTGCAAATCCTACAGATGCCGTGCTATACTGCACATGCTTCTAGGGTTTATAGCAAAGCTGGAGGCCCATGTCTGTTCAAGCCAGAGAGTAGGCTTTTCAGATTCAGAATTTTTATCCTGGGCTTTTTACTCCTTAGCTGTTAGCAGACCCCCTACTGGAGTGGAACCTATACACACAAGAATGTAGAGGACACATGTGGATGTTAGGCAAGAGAAAATGCTGTGTGCTCTGTTTGAGTCATTTGATTGTCACAGGCAGGGGACACTCTACCTTTTGTGCTTTCTGCAGGGAAGCATAGTACTTAGACCACCAGTCAATGACATTTTCAGCAGATTCATCCGCTATGGTCCTCTTTTTCCTTTTAGTGGATCTCCGGGAAGGCTTCCTGACATCCTACCAAGGAACGAGGGCTGAATTATTATCCGGGCCACATTTCATTGGCTAACTGGGGAAGTGAACATGTTGGTACCCACTGGGAGATGCAGAGATAGCTGTTGGTTTTGTGGAAGCAGCTTTCTGTGTTGGTTCAGTAAAGGAAGGCTTGACCACCTAAACCCATTCATTCCTTCATGCAGCAAACACTCATTCAGTAGATGTGACACACTGTGGCTTGCGGGTGCAGGGTGGGAACTGAGTAGAGCTCAGTGGAGGAGGGGAGCATGCAGTGGAGAAGTGGCAGCCTGTGACTTAACACGGTACAGCAGAAAGGGCATCAGCATCATGCGATCTGGGCTACAAAGCTTAAACAACTAATACAAATTTTGTGATTCTCAGTTTCTTCAATAAAAGGCAACAATACCCACCTACTTCACTGTTGTGAGGACCATGTGGCATAATGTAGGCAATTCCCCTTTAGCTTCATTTCTGACTTCAAGAGGTGCAAAGAGAAGATACCCACAGATGATGAGGTAGGTGACCCCGGGATACACACATGCAGAAAGGAAGCATTTGGGGCTAGGCTGTGCTGTGTTGGCAGCTACCACTGTACAACCCTTCACACCTCCATCATCCCACCTTCCCCAGCATCTTCTTGAGTACCTACTGTGTGCCATGCATTCTGGGAAGTGCAGGGAAATGGAGAGATTTGCTATCAGAAACTCATCTCTGACCTTTTGGCTTACAGTTTCATATTGTCAACGAACACTCAAACTGCAAATGTCAGCATAGAGGCAGAAATGATGGTGAGAAGCTAGTGAGGGCTCACAGGTGCCTACTGGAGGGAGGAGCTGCAGACAGCCCGGGCAAATGTCCAGTAACTTGCCGTGCACTTTATTTCCATTTTTACTATTCACTGCACAGGCAGTTTTTTTTTCTGTTTAAGACTTAAAATAGTCTTAGATTTTGCACTCAAATTTATGACTTAGAAAAGTTAGCCATAAAACAAGGGTTTTTGGTTCTTTGTATACTTTTCCACCTTTCCCTCCAGAATCTCAGGTAATTGAGGATGAGAAACCTTACTCCTCTTCACAATCCAAAGGCACGTCTGTGTGGCCCCATGCACCCTGGTACAAAGCAGGCTCTAAATATGTGTGATAGTCCTGGGTGAAGAAGCCATAATCCCTCAAGGATAATGACTTTAGCAGAGTTCCTTTTCATTCAAATGTTACTGTCACATTTGACTAGCATTTTGATTTCATACTGATTGACTTTCTGATCGTACAGCTGTGCTTTAGGTGAGTGTCAGTATACTATTCTCATCTTATGCTTGAAGAAGCAGGTCTTCAGGAATGTGAAGCTGCTGGCTCAAGGCCGTGCAGCCAGGTGGTAGGAGGGCTAGTGTCTAGATCCTCCAAGATCCTCCAGTGCAAATTTCTGGGAGCCTTGTATATATGAAGGGGGTGACTGTCTGACCTTAACTGGCCCATCTTTGGGCGCCTCCTGGGCTGCAGGCTTGTGTTCAGACTCCAGCATCGGGGACGAGTCAGGGATGTCAACCAAGACAGCTGCATGGGCCTGGGAAGAGTCTGGAATGGTGGTGGGGGGTGGCTCCACATCCATGTAGACACAATCTGTTGGGGGATCCTGGGAGGAGCTGGAGAGTCCAGAAGATTCCTTCTCTATTAACACATCTGAAATAGCTGAAAAGAGAGCATAGTCAGTCAGGGGATAGGATGGTAGTTCAACTCAGGGCCATCATTTCATGGATTTAATTCTACAAATTAGTTCTACACTCAAATATGGCAAATTCTTAACATTTCTGAACTTCATTTTCCTTATTTACACATGACAGCAGAAACACCCATTGCATGGGGAAGTGAAACGAGGCACCAGTACATAAAGGTAATTCATAAATGGTTGTGTTTTTTTTCTGGTCACTGAGAAAAATTGTAGCCACTCATGGACATTGGGGTCATGGAAATCAAGGTTTAAGCAAGGGCTTCAGGAATGATTATTTCTCCCCAGGGCATTGGCGTGGGGAGTGTTTGGACACTGCAGGAGTCAGTGAACCCCACAAGTGCAGGCAGAACTTTGGGCGCATGAGTGCATGTATGTGGCAGGGAGCAGAGGTTTATCCATGGACTTTATGAGATTCCTAGCTGGGCTAATTGCGCCACTCTACAGGCACTGCAGTGCTCTTTGCTGTCAAATTCTCTCTCTTGACTGGCTCTGTAGGATTCAGTACTAAGGACAGCTCCCAAGCAGCATCCCCAGGCTGCCAAGACCCCCAGGGCCTTTCCTTTCTACAGTTGCTGGCCTTAATATAGCAAATTCATCCAAAAAACCTCTCCTAGGTATCTACTCTGCTAGACCCAGAGACAGAGAAACCAGTAGTACAGACCAGAGATGGCAGGAACAGACAGGAGATGCAGGGAAACTTGACTTATGAGAAAGTGGGGGAGTCAAAGGGGAAAGACACGACTGGTGGATCAGCGGGTCTTTGGGGGGGGAATGGTGCACTCTTAGAGAAGTCTGCAGCTGGACACCCACCTAGCATCATGTGCAAATGCATGGGGGTGAAGTATCTACACACAAAAGCTACAATCATGAAGCTAACTGAAGACAGTATGGCATTGGTATACTTGTAACCAAGGAGACAGGAAAAGGTCCTTTAAGCCAGATTTTAAAAATATAGATTATGAAGTTCAAAACATGAGTGGATCTTATTACAGAAGAATTGAGGATTTCTGCAGACATGGAGACTGCAGGCAAGTTTTGTAGTTACTCTCCTGGGAGGAAGTGTTAGCAGTGTCTGGAACACTGAAGAGCTTGGGACTCCAAAAGCAAACTCAAGGAAGGACACGTGATGTGAGCAGAGCGCATGAGAAGGCAACCAGGCAGAGCAAGACGATCAGGGGAGCAAGGAGGCTTGCAGAGGCACAAATTCGGCATCAGTCAGAGAAATCTGGGTGCAGACACCAATGAGATGCTACTTTCCATCCACAGAAGAGCAAAACCCAAAAGCCAAACGAACCAAAAGGAAAATGCAAAAATTTGGTAACAGATTCACCTGAGGAGCGCTACTGTCACGACAATCGTATGGAGTGCCCTCTGGCTGTACTTAGTGGAATTACAGGGAAACAGTCCCTGTGACCTAGAGGGACACTTGCCTGAGAAATTCCCACGTTCCCTGAGGGAACGTGCACAAGAGCACTCATCACAGCACCACTGACAGGAGGGGGAGCCGCAAGAAGCCTTACGAAGGGAAAGGAAAACCAGAGCGTAGACGCTACAGCAAGCAGCAATAACGAGTGAGTATGTATAAGCCTTAAAACATAGCCGAAGTTAAAAGAATAGGAAACCAGCCAGCGAGAGAGCTAGTGGACTAAGCGCCTGTTTTGGCAAGCCCAGGGACCAGAGTCCGATCCCCGTTCTGCATGCTGTACCGGCCCCACCCCCGGGACGCATTGAGTCTAGGCATGGTGGTGCACACCTGTAATCCCAGTGCTGGGAAGGCTGAAAACAGGAGGATCACTATGAATCTGAGCTGCATAGTGAGACCTGGTACCAAATACATAAAAAGAAAGAACAGGAAACCAAAGGCAGTCTATCATCTATGTAGAGGAAAGGCAGCTGAGCTTTACAGGCGCCTACAGTGGGACTGGAGCTAGCAACAGGCTCAGGAAGGTGGGGGCATGATGACTGAGAAGCCTGGAATAGATCAGTGGGGTTTTGTAGCCCAGAATGCAGAAGAGCTATTCACCCAACTTGGAACACCTGACATCCAAAATGGAACAAACTAAAATAACATCAAACACAAAACCAAGAAAAATACCAGAGGGTGGAGAGACGAGGGGGGTTGGCGTATTCCAGATGTCCTCTAGAGGTGTGGAGCCTGATATGAGTCTGAAGAGGTCGGTAGCCAGAGAAGGCAGAAAAGGCTGCAGGAGCGAGGAGGAGGAGGTAGCAGAGGCCCCGGCAACCCCTCCCCAGCGTGCCGCAGGCCCAGCCTCTCTTCATGCAGCCCCAGTGTGCAGAAGGAGCTCCCCACCTGGCCCAGCTTGGGCTCCATCCACCTGTGAGGTCAGGGCCAGGGCCTCTTCAGTTTTCCAGAGAAACTGCTTCAGGCAGTTGATGGTGTAAGTGCCGACGAGCGTGCTCCTCCCGAAAGCTCTCCAGTCCACTACGCAGATGCTCAGTGGTGGGTGCAGCAGCTCGTTCTCCGGCAGCTCCTGCAGGAGAGGCTGGGATGATGCCAGGCTCTCTTTCCCCAGCTGACCTGACTGTCATGGCTGGAAGCTGGTGGGCAGCCACCTCCTGACCCCTGCCTTGCTACTGTGACTCTGAGTCCAGCCCCGTCTCTGCAAAAGCACTGGAGCGTCATGAACCTAAGCCCAAGCCCAAGCACAAAAGATCTTGGCGTGGCATCTGCCAGTGCACCACAGGCCTAAGTCACCCAGATCCCTACAACAGTGTTTTTGGCCTCTGTGCCATCATTTGCCAGCAGAGCCACCGTCTCTAATGACGTTTGCTTCATCCCAATGTGTAAAACAGATGAAAGTTGAGCCCTTGAACAGAGAATGTGACTGAGGGGACAGCACCTGCCACCCTCATCTCCTGGGGTGACCCCTGAGGCTCAGGGCAGCCCCACGTGAAGATGTGCAGACCCACCCTGCCCCATCTGCAGGGCAGTCTTCACCAATTTAAGTCATGTGTGGTGTGGAGCTGCCTGAGCTCAGTGAGGAAAACGTCTACACAGCTAGTTCCAAGTCAGAGCAAAGGAGCCTGCTGAAACACTGCAGTGGAGGAAGCGCAGGTGCCAGAACACCATTTCAGAAGCATAAGGGCTCCGGCAAACTACTGAGTTGTAAGTACAAATGACCTTTAAAAATATCTAGCCATTAAAACAAGTGTCAATAAGCTATCTTCCAGGCCAGTGGTCACAAGGTTCACATGTGTTGGAGTCCCCCAGAGGACCTGCTGCTCAGCAGCAGGAGATGTTGGGACGGGCCTGGGGATGGGCATTGGTACCAGGCTTCCAGGCGCTGCTAATGTGAGTGGGCTTAGGCCCTAGTCTAGGGGAAAAGGGTTTTTTAAATGTATTTTACTACATGGTCTACAGGGTCTCATTACGTAGATTGGACTCATAGTGATCCTCCTGTTTTTAGCCTCCCACGCACTGGGATTACAGGTGTGCGCCACCACGCCTAGTCTCAGTCATGTCTTAGCACATCCTGGGGGCAGGGCCAGCATGGCTTGTGGTGCCAGGGATCCACCCCTGGACCCTGTGCTCTGCCTAAGCAGGCACTTTAGTCCATTGAGCTATCTGGCTAGCCCCAGGGAAAAGGTTTTAAATCTGTTTTGATTTGTTGTGTGGTCTGCACTTGAAAACAACAATTCCAAGCACCTATTTTATTTCATCCTAAAATTCTGGCCTTTGGCCATGACACTGCTCCTTCTTATGGCTGATGCGCATTTATCAAGCTCAGTGGAGGAGGGCATGGGGCATCTGGGAACGGGGCAAGCGGGCAGGGAAAGAGGGGTCCCTACCACTTCGAAAGTGTCTGCTTGGACACTGAAGTTGGGGTTGTTCTTGTAGCTCTGGATCACGCAGGACTTCACTCCTCGGCCCCCACACTCGATGAGAACCTGAGGCCGGTCCACAGACAGCAGCTGTACCTTCTTCATTTCTCGGACTCCCCAGAAGAGGACCTGGGAAAGGACCCACAGCGATGTCACCCGCAGACCAGAGAAAGAGCCCTGTGCAAGCCCCGTGGTGCAGGAAGTGGGAGGAGCCTGAGGCCTCAGGGTGTCCCTCAACGTGTGGGGTCTCTGCTTGCCAGCTGCAGCTGGATGGGGTTCCACTTGGCTGGACTTCCGGTCTGGCCTCATTCCCCCTCCCTAGTCCCAAAGGACAACTCCTAACCCTTCCAGAGCCGCACCTCCACATGGTATTTACTCAGCACTGGCCGGATGTTGGCAGGAACTGGGTAGATCTGGGCAACATCTGGAGGATCCATGGGAGGAAGCGCTTGCGGCCCAGCCGAAGGGACCTGCCACAAAGTGGGTGCTGGTGAGGAGGACAGGAGTGAGGAGCCTGGTGCCACCAGATCCCCTGGGTAAGACGTCATGGTCTTGTTAGCTTACAATGCAGTAAGAGCCATGCAGTTTCCATGTTTAATTACTCGTTAATTGGCAAATGCATGAATGTGCAGCATGACCGGCACGTAGCGAGCACTTAGGCCAGCCTGTGGCATGCGAGCCACAGCTGGCCATTCGCTATCATCAAAAGTTAATCGCTGATTAGGCCAGGTCACAAGGCTGGTGCAACACAGCTGTCAGTGAGCTCCCGTAGCGAAGGAAGATGGGGAAAAAGACAAAGAGTGGAGCGTCACACTCAATAGATGACCCTGGCGTGACAGCCCGCAGCTCTGGAAAAGCCATAAGCACTCTCCCAGAGACTTGTGAGTAATCGCACAGTGCTGCTTCCTCAGTGGGACAGAAAATGGACCCTTCTGAAGGCAAGCCCATGTCCCTTCCTGTGCACCAGGGGCTACTGACCCAGGGAGGACGGTCGCTGTGCTCCGCTGGACTCTCCCTCAAAGGACTCAAACCACGCACTAAGGATGGGGTGCTCTCCTGCATAGCCCCACCCGGTCTGCCCTCGAGACCAGCTCACCACACACACTGCCTTTCTGCTTGGTCCCAGCCACGGAGGCCCTTTTGAGTACAGCACGGCCCGTCCTCCCACCGGAATGCAGCAGTGCTCTCTGCAGACTTACCGCAAATGTTGGGCTCTGCCGCATGACCTCTTACAAGTCACTGCCTCTCTCTGAGCCTCAACTCGGGCCTGAGAGACCTCTCAGGGATCACACATCCCGCTGAGCATTGCTGTGGAGCGGTGGTCCTCTCCACCACTGTTGCCTGCAGTATTTGCGTGACTTGGCTGGACAAGTCTCGGTTTACTTTATGTCGTCCTCCGGGGCCCTCAAGCAGCACTGCCTATTCAGCAGTGTCTATTGGTCACTGATACATCAGCTCCTCATGCTGCTAAAAACCCGGTGCTCCTGGAAGCCCGCGGGGCGCGAACATCAGCAGCAGCGGAGGTGGTTCAGCTGATTACAAGAAAGCTCAGAGAAGAGAGCCGACAGCGCAGGCCCCAAATAGGCTTCAGATGATGAAGCTGCAGAGCAGAAGGCGCCCACGGAGAAGCCGCAGTGAGGCTGAGGGCCATGCTGCCCTGCTGTGACCAGCTGAGCAGCATGGCCTGGGGCACCACTCACTGCAGAGGCAAGCAGCTCCTGGGCTTCAAAGCCAAGGCCCCCAAGTGCTGGCACGCGGGTGCTGGAGCGGCTGCCTCTAGACTAGCTTTCTGTTCTCTTTAGGTATTTGGCACAGCGTAACTGAGCACACTGAGGAGCATAGTGTGGCATTTCAGCAGACACATGTAATGGGCAGCGCTCAGATCAGGGTAGGCAGCATATCTGTCGCCTGAGACACTCGTCACTTCTCTGCTTTAAGAGCATCTGAAGTCCCCTCTTGCCATTTAGAAATCACCACTGTTGTCATGATTTATCCCACTGTGCTGTAGCACACTGGAAATTCTTCCTCCTACCCTGCTGTGTGCATTTCTAACCATAAATCATCCCATCTCCCAAACACACAGGCTTCCGGGGCTCAGAACCACCCACCCCACGTGCTTTTTGACAGGCATCATTAGTCCTTATTCCAGGGCTGCTGAGGTGCCAGCTTAGGCAACCCCCCTGAGAAGCTCGTACCTTCCGCATAGCCCATGAGAGGTCTGTGGATATGCAGTGTGCAGGACAAGGGACAGACTGGGGGTGACAGAGATGGGAGAAAGGCTCCTGAGCATTTGTGAAGCTGCATGGTGTGCAGGCAGTCAGGGCACAGGGCCCCAGAACAGTAAGGACCATTATGAAGGGGAAGTGGTGGGAATCAGGGACGAACGGGGGAGCTCCTCCGAGGTCCCAGCTGCAGGCTCATCAGGGGTGGGGCGATGGAGGCAGCTGCTTAGACATACTGAGGAGGCCCTGCCCCCAGGCACACAGGACGCTGCCCATCCAGAGATCGCTGTGGCCACTTGATGCTCAGGAGCCTTTCTCCCATGTCTGTCACCCCCAGTCCATCCCTTGTCCTACACACTGCACACCCAGCACGGTGGCAAGGGACTGCTTCAGGGCCCTGCCCCTGCTGAGAGCTTGGAGAAGTTACTCAGTGTCTCTGAGCCTCTGATCCGCCCTTTGTGAAACGAGGCTAATGCTGACCAGATAACAGATCTGCTGTGAAGAACCGTTGAGACAGCTTGCACGCAGCTGGCCTCCTTCCTGGCACTTAGCAGCGCCCTGAGTAGAGGCAAACTGGAAATTTACTGACTTCTACAAAGAATAAAGCTCAGCCTCAGATGATCTCAGTCTCTAGTTGGATAGACGCAATGTGGGACTCACATGCCTCAGAAGTGCACTTAAATGCTCTGGGAGGAAGCAATCTCGTCCCAGGCTCAAGTCTTCTCAACATGTCATTACGTACAGTGTCTAGCGTGCAGGAAAATAGGCACGAGGACATGACACAGCAAAGAGATTAAAAGCAAAGAGAGCTAGCAATCAGATGAACAGGCCCCTAGATGAGTCTGACACTGTATAAGCCAGCTGAGCTCTAATATATCAAGGCAAATCTATTAACAAGACCTAAGACTCAGATTCTCCGTAGAGCACCGAAACCCATAACAAAAGGAAAAGAGAGGAATTCTGTGACTGAAAACATAGTCACTGGAAAGAACACCTTAGTGACCAGGTGAAAACAAGAACAGCACTTTTTACAACACAACGAGAATGAGACTCATCTTTCAGCAGAGACAGGGACTCTCAAGCAATGGGCTGGAGGAGTGCTGGGATTTCACACTGCTGGAAGGCTTTCTCACCACCCTGGCAAACAAAAGGATCCCAGAGGAAATCTGCTGCACCAAGTCAAAGAGTGAGTTCGTGCACAAGCCAGGAGCAGCCCTGAGCGTGCGTCTGCAGAGAGGCGGCGCTGCCACAGGTAGAGCCTCCTAGTGGGAACTGGGACAAGTGGCCGGAGTGTGCTCACTTGTCGATCACCAGAGAGGCCAGTGTGGACTCTGCTCACACTGATGACCTGAGATTCTCTTCAGGGTTACAGAGCTTCTGGTGGAGGATCATGATGATGCATAAGACCTCAGCCTGCCTGCCTGCCCTGACCCATGATCTGCTTTCTGGCGAGAGACTTGTGTAAAGTCATGATTAGTGAATCATTCATTCATTGACTTTACCTTGTAAAGCAGGAGGAAAAAGTCACGCAGAGATACTGTCCGAAGGCAGCCCAGTCACCTCACTCTGACTTCTAGTGTGATGATTTAATGGAGGCTGAACATTAAGGAAGAAGGGTTTGCTCTTCCAGCCACTGGAAAGGCAGGCAACAGACAGGAAGGGTAGAGGGCCACCATATTCTGCACCCTAGAGACAAAGCTAAAAATATGAGAGAAACTGGAGAAAGCTCCCCTGAGAAATTCCTAGGCACTGGAATGAGAAGCAAGAATAGATTCTGAGAGGAAAGACCTGACACACAGTGCACAAAGCTGCACGTAGCACAGCTCCAAGGGGTTCCAGTCACACAGACCAGGACGAAACAGCTCATCTGGGGCCTGCGGCACACTCACTCTGTGAGAAGATTACAGAGACAGTTCTAGGTGCTGGGAAGTGTGTGGGCAGATTACTAGAGGCAGGCAGAGCCCCCAAGGATCCCTACATGCTGAAATCCAGAGCCTATTGAATACGTGACCTTCCAGGGCAAATGAGACATGGCAGAGGTGATGAAGTTAAGGCTTCTGACGTGGGGAGATTACCCTGGATGGCCCCAGTGTGAGCACAGGGGCCTTATAAAATGCCAAGGAGGTGTAGATCATAGGATGGCGAAAATAGAGGAGAGACAGATGAGATGGAAGATTGATCTGAAGAAGCCACGCTGATGGCTGCAGACACAGGAAGAGACTACCAGCCACGGCATGCAGGTGGTGTCTAGGAGGATGAGAGAACAGACTCACCACAGAACCTCCAGAAGGAGCATGGGGCTGCTGACACGTTGGCCACAGCTCAGGTAGACCATTTCCACATTGCTGAGCTCCAGAGGGACAAGATAGTAGATGTGTGTTATCTTAAGCCACCACGTGGGTAGTAATTTACTGCACTAAGCCAACAACTGATACAGGAAGCAAAAGGTTCTACGAGAGGAAGGTAAACTTTCTGGGAGGTGAACATACAAACAGTAGAAAGAGGAAAGCCCTAAAAGGAGGGTGAGGATTCTGGAAGCAAGAAAAATGTAAGTCAGGAGAAGTGCTGGGAGCGGCCCAGGGCATGGCCTGAGAGTCGAAATCAACGTCAAATGCAGAACTCTGGGAAGATTTGTTTGTTGAATGAGTGAAAAGTGCATTTGAAAATATTTTGTTGGAAGGCTACTTTGTATAAATATTGCTGGCTTTGTGTGTGACATGGAGACGAACCTCCAAATTCCGCTTCAAATCCATCGGCCAGCGGGCGGGTGCTACGTTTAACCCAGACTCAGAAGCCACTTGCCTTCCTTTTTGTGGCTACAGTCTTGTCTCCAGTCTGGATGGCCTGTGCAGGGGTCCCCGCTGGGCCTCTCAGAACGCACTCAGCCCGGCATGCATCACCCTTCCTCTAAGTCCAGTACCTTGCGGAAAAGCCTACACGGGCGTCCCACCTCCCCGAGAGCACAAGCCAAGGCCCTTCCGCGGCTCCATGCGACCTCATCTCCTGCTCCCCCGTCCCTCCACTCCAGCCATGCTGGCCTCCTTGGGCACGCCAGGCAAACAGGCTGCAGGGGCTCATGTGCCATTTCTTCTGCACTTGAAGCTCTTTGCCCAGTTGTGTACATGGCTTGGTCCTTCCTCCCAGCAGGTCTGGACTTAAGCACCACTTCCCTGGATCCCTGAATTGTCATTCCTGTCCCTCTGCCTACCGTACTGACGGCCACTTCGTATCATATTACTTCACCTTTT